CAAACTAGACAATAAATGGTCTGAAAATTGTTGAATAAAAAAATGTTTGATGCCACTTTTCTAAATCTATGAAATTTTTGAACAAAATTCAAAGTAAACAAAATGAAAAGTTTATGATTGAATATAACAATCGATGGTTTATCCAACTGGTTGAAAAGAATAAAGTTGTGAAGTTCTTTTTAAATCTGAAAAAGTGAATAGAACTATTAAAAATAAGATGATTATCGTCTATATATAGAATTATATAATATGAATCGAGTTGAATTTAAATCTCTAAATTAATATTATTTTATTTTATTAAATAGACGTCAATGGACAATAAATGATTTTGAAATCGGTGCACCATTAGGTCGAGGACGTTTTGGTCATGTTTATTGTGTACGAGAAAAAAAAAGCAAATATATTGTTGCTTTAAAAGTAATTTAATTATAAATAAAATAATATTTTTTTTTTTTTTTATTAAATATTTATCTATAATAGGCGATAATTAAAGATCAAATATCAACTCCTCGTTTAGCCAAACAATTAATAAGTGAAATATCAATTCAAAGTCGTCTTAAGTAAATTTATTTTAATAAAATTATTTTGTTATTTAATTAATTATTATTTAATTAGACATCCAAATATCTTACGTCTTTATGGATTTTTTCATGATGATCAACGAATTTTTTTATTACTTGAATATGCACCTGGTGGAGAATTATATAGACGTATGCAAAAAGATAAAATTATACAAGAAAATCAAGCTGCTGGAGTATATTTATATTATATTATATTTAATAAAAAGAAAAACAAATTTTATTTATTTAGTATGTTTATCAACTTTGTAATGCATTATCATATCTTCATTCAAAACAAATTATTCATCGGTACCTTTTTTTTTTTAATTTTACAGAAGAAAATATTTATTTATTTTCATTTTTTTTATTATAGTGATATTAAACCAGAAAATATTCTTATTGGAGTTTATGGAATTCTTAAATTAGGTTATTTTCTTTTTTTTTCTACATAAACAATAGTTTTAGAAATTTGTTTTTTCTTTATTTTAAAGCTGATTTTGGTTGGTCAGCTGAGAGTAATCAAGCAAATAAGTTTGGTTTTTAAATAATTAAATAAAAATAATTATTTTATTCTATATATAGACGAACAACTCTATGTGGAACATTAGATTATTTAGCACCAGAAATGCTTAATGGAAGTGGATATGATGAAAAAATTGATCTTTGGTGTTTAGGTATATTTACTTATGAAATGGTATTTTCCTTTTTTTTTTATTCCATTTTAAATAAATAAATAAATAAATATTATATAAAGATTGTTGGTAAACCTCCATTTGATAGTCAAAATCAACAAGATACAATACGACTTATTCGAACAAATCAATTATCATTTCCATCAACAATATCAAATGATGCTCGTCATCTTATTAGTCAAGTAAATATAGATAAGATTATTTTATAAAATAAATAAATATAAAATTTAGTTAATTCGTCCTAATCCATCAGATCGTATGCCTTTAAATCAAGTTATTCAACATCAATGGATTATTCAATATGCAAATATTAAATCAATTGATGATAATTATCAAAAGGTTTATAAATCAACATTTTATAATTCAAATACATAACATTTTATATATTATATAAATACATTATTATTATATTTATTTTTCTTATCTTATCACAATTCTTCTTTGCTTTATCTCTTCCTCCTAGATTTATTTTTCTCTGTAAACTTCAATTAACAAATAAATATAGAATATTGATATATATATATATATATACATATAGAGAGAGAGATTTTTTGGATTTTAATAAGAAATATTCAATCAATTAAATATCATTACGAGGCTTTTTTTGATGTAGAATTGAGAATAAATAATTAAAAACAAAAAAAAAGATTGATATCGAATAGAAGAAGAACGTCATAAATGTCGAATGGTTGTTGTTGTTTGTATTGG